TCCTTTCCTTGAGGTTCTTTCTTGTTGAGCTCTCTTCAACAATGGAGAAGGGAGGTTGGAGAGTCTTCTTTTCTCTTGCTTGGGTTCTGGCCGCAGGGATGAGGGAGGAAAGGGAGTGGGTATTGCCTTGTCTCAATAGAATGGGTGGTGTGGGGAGAGGTCCACCTTATTTTCTTTTTGTTTGATTCCTTTCCACTCACATCACACACCCCTCCCATGTTCCTATATCTTTTCAGCCGGCCAAAACATCACATTTGGGTGACCAAATTCGTGGGTTGGCCCCCACTCATGTGGGAGGTCAACCCTTTTTGTCCAGAAGTGTACAATTTGTCCCGAAAGTTGTATTTTTCGGACTGTTTTAAATATAATTTATTTGATCGGACCAAATAAAATGTATTATGTTTTCTTAGTCATTATGACATCTATAGTGAATATACATTCCCCAACTTTAATTTATAAGTCTCCGAAATTCAATTTCGGGCTTTTATCGGTTAAATTACCAATACCGATATTTGGGCTTCTTTTGACCAATCGGTCAACTCTGGACATTTCCATGGTTCAAATGAAGTACCCACCACTATATAAATATTATCTTGACCAAGATAAATAAAATATATGGTTTCGGGAATTTCGGGCGGCCCCCCCGCTCCCGGTGTGGGACCCGCGTGCGAATTTACTATACACACCAAACATTAATAAAAAATTCACAACTTCATAACCTCATTAACCATTCCATAAGGTTCAATACATTATTCACTTAAAAGTAAATATATTTGGGGACGGTGTTACACTACCGGCGCATCTTCGGTCAAGAAACGTGCAAGACCGAGAGTAGTGAGATAGAAGAGCATCTTTTGCTGCCACCTCTTGAAGTTTAACCCATTAAATATTTCGGGTTTCTCCACAGAGTTGCTCGGCACGGTCACCATAGGGATAGCCCTTTGGTTAACCAAAGCAGATGCACCGCGTTGTGAACTATTGTTCACCGGAGCTCCACTTTCAGAGTGATTATCGTTCAAACCATTCAAAACATTTTGCCCAACAACATTTTCATTTTCTTGAGAAGTCATTTTCCGTTTCTTACGTTCTTCGAAAACACAAAAAACAAGTTTGTTCACCAAGGTGACAAACTACAAGTTTAAGATTGTTTACCGTAGTAGAAGAACTATGTTTTTCCGACCATAGCGCTAGGCGAATTTGGGCGGCTTGGTGGCATAGAAAGGGCTGGTCGGGGCTAGGTAGAGATGGAATAGGGGCTGGGTTGGACTGGCTGGTTGGCCGGAGCAGAAGATGGAGATGGTGACATGGGCATGGGCTTTGGGGTGCGGTGGCATAGGGCGTGGGGCTGGGGAGGGGCAGAGGTAGGTGAAAAAAGTGGCGGTGGGCTGGGGAGGGAGATTTGGGGACTGGGGAGGGTGGACCGGGAGCTCGCGACGGAGGTGGTGAGCTAGATGGCGACAACCGGAGTTTTTGAGACGATGCTGGCGGGAAATTGTGCGATGGTGGCAGCAGGTGGGCCGGGGGCAGACGTCTAAATATCACTGCCTTGGGTTGAGGAATGAGGAGGGATAATGTCATGGTGTCGTTTGACATGTTTCACAGTGAATCGGTTGTAGTCACATTCGTAGGTGACAAAAAACTGACAATGACATGAATAAATTGCAATGACATAATATTTTTACAGTTACATCATGTTTTCTAAATATTTAAAAGTAGTCACATTTTTGAAAACTTGCTTTAATTTAGTAATATTAAGGGAAAAACACAAGTAATAATTAGTGTACTCTTTGCTACTCCCATGTAAGGATGACAATGGGGGCTGGGGCCCGTGGGGAACCGCCCCTTGGGGGAGAGTTGGATCGGGTGGGGCGGGTATGGGGATGGGGGAATTATTTCCTTCCCATTTAAATATGGGACGCGTGATGAGTCATGCACCACCCGCACCGTCCCCGTATATTAATAGTTAATAATAATTATTAATAATTAATAATAATAAGCACAATAATAATAATAATACTAATACGAAGTAACTAAAATATAGTATGGTGGCCCGGTGAGTTTAGTGGTTTCCTATCTAATGAGCATTGCCTAATAGATCTATCTAATTCTTGTTTAATAACTCAGCTATCTTGTAAAATTGGTTATTAAAATTATAAAGTAAAATAAAATTGGGAAAATTATAAAGTGATATTAGCTTAAACGCCTCAGTCATAGTGTGAATGTTTTCTTCTTTTACTATTACAGTGCATTAATTATTTTCTTATGAATGCCATCTTTATGATTGTAGTTATGCTCTTAAAAATTTGGTGACCATAGATCGTCCTAGATGCTGTCAAATGACCATGGTTGATTGAATGCAGAGTTGAAAATATTGTAGAGCTAATCAATGATAATAAAGTGTTTGATAAAATGACTAAATCAAAACGCGTATAATGTGTTCTAGATTTGAAATGGGATGTAAGGTTGCATTGACACTTCAAAACGAAAAAGGTTTTTTGGCTACTAGAAATGTTGTTTAATTTTTGAAAAACTATCACAGTCTAAAATGATGTTATTTTTTGACGAATATTTCCTCCGTTGGATACCCGTGGGTCTAGCGGGTCGGGGTGGAGGATGGGCCGGATCAAATAGTGGCGGGGGATGGTGCGGGGCGGGGGCGATTTTTTAGACACGGGGCGGGGATGGGGGAGTGAACCCCGTCCCAACCCCGCCGCATTGCCGTCCCTACTCCCATGGATACAAATTGATGTACGGAACTACTACCTCCGTCCCATAATGGTTGTCTCATTTCAATTTGGCACAGTTATTTATAAAATGGTTGAAAAGTAAAAGTTGTGGTTGAGATTTAGGGGGCGTTTGGTTCTTTGCACATTAAAACTTTACACGCAAAATGATTGCATGTAAAGTTTAGGGCCGTGATTAGTTTGCATGTAAAATAGAAATACATCATTTGGTTACGTGTGCAATCTGTTTTTAAATTACATGCAAACTATAGGTAGTAAAAATCAACGTGCAGCCTGGTATTCATGCTTATTGGATATAAATTCAATGACAATTCACTAAAAAATTCTTAGAAATAACTAAAATGCTACTAATTCACTATTCTACGTAATGAAATATCATAAAAAATCTTAGGAAATAACTAAAATGCTACTAATTCACTATTCTACGTAATGAAATATCACAAAAAATTCTTAGAAAATAATTAAAGTGCTAATTAGATTTCTCCATTCAAGACAGCTCTAACATAAATCAACTTCGCCTCTTCATCTGGCATGAGTAAAAATGAATCTGTTTTGCCTTTGCTAGATGATATAACTCCAAATGCACGAATCGCCTGCTTCTTGCTTAAATCTGGCAGATTCATTATCACCTGCAATATATGTGGCTTAACATCATCAGCAGCATTAAAACGATCGAAAAATGTTGTCACTTTCTCAAACTGCTTGTTTGACGTAGCACACATTTCCAAAACTGTTTCTATTTTTTTTGAACACTTCAGCATGTTTGTCTAACGCATTCTTCTTTGGTTTTTTCATGACGCCTCAAATTCTTCCTTGATTGAAATACCAAGGCTGCGCTTCTTGGTTTTGTTGATATCAAGTGGTGAAAAAATTTCATCGTTCGTAGTATCAAGATCCACAGCTACACCAAAAAAATCATCCTGAATAACACTTTTTGGCACATGAGCTCCTTCATGAGGTGCATTTTCTTTTCCTATACTAGTCACCATTTCAGCTGGAGTTTCACACTTATTCTCAGTTGCCCATTCAACACCAAATATTATCGCTAGCTCATCAAAATAAGGGAATGACTTGTATCGAAGATGAACCGAGTCTCTATGGCCCTACAATGACATTACCGATTAAAAAAAGTCATAAATCATATATATAAGCATATTTAAAACATACAATATTTTGACTACACGCAAAATACCTTAATCCAAGAAGCCCAAACTTCATTATCACAACTCACCATTTTGGTTTCCTCATTCCAGCCAAAACCTGAAGCACCCCTCATCATAGAAAATTCCTTATATTGTGTTTTTAAAGTCCTTAACCTATTTTTAATATTTGGATCTCCCAAAATATGACAACCAGGGATTTTTGCAGCCATCCACTTCTGCAATTGTTGATAAAAACCCGTTTTGAATCCATTTTCAGCTTTCCAACCTTGGTTGATCAGTTCGAGACAACCCTCAATGAGTATCTTGTCTTCATGAGGAGACCACTAATGATTATTACGTTTCACTTTTGAACTAGCAATGATAGAACAATCTTCCATTGTAGACTGTATAAGGCAAACAGTAAGAACAGACAAAATACATCCAGAAAAAAGACGAAACTTTCAGTAGTATTATATTATGAGTAAATAACTAGTAATAGAGTATTTTAATCAAATGAAAGTTAACAAATAAAAACACATAAAACTAGTAATATGAATCTTAATTCCTATTAATCCGGCGCTCATTCCATATTTCTTGTGCTAAGTTATCCCTAAATGCAGTCCAAGCTGCAGATTGCTCAATATCTTGTATGCTTGGGGCATTCATAAATGGGTCAGAATCAACATAATCCTCTGGCACCTTATCCTCAAGTGGATCCTTTCGCATCTCCCTTCTTATATGATTGTGAAGTAAAGCACAAGCGGTTATAACTCTACAATATGTCTTGACAGGGTACCAAGATCTACTGCGAAGAATTGCCCATCTCATTTTCAATAGCCCAAACGATCTCTCAATGACATTACGTGCACATGAATGCTTGTAATTGAACATTTCTTCTTTTGTTCTAGGATAATTTCGTTGGCTCCATTCTTTTATATGATATCGTTGACCTCTATAAGGAGCTAAAAAACCCTCTGCGTTGCTGTATCCGGCATCTCATAGATAGTAACAACCTAGATTAATATGTTATGGTTAGAACTTATGAGTCACAATTTATGTGAATTTTAAAATATATAATATTGAAAGCCCTATTGATTCTCCCACTACCATTAGTACCTTGAGGAACTACAAAGCCATTTGGCCTTGAAATCGCACTTCTTAATACCCTTGCATCCGCAGCAGAACCTTCCCACCCAGGCAATATGTAGATAAAATGTAAATCCCGAGAACAAACTCCAAGTACATTTGTGGCCAAATCCCCTTTCCTTGTCCTATATTTTGGCTTTTCTTGCTCAGGGACATTTATCTGAATATAAGTTCCGTCTAGCGCTCCCAAACAATTCTACATATTTAAAACAAATATCAGTGCTTTGTTAGTAATTTACTAATTTAAACATTACTCCGTATTTATTTTGTAGTATTTTTCAGGTAAATAATGTAGAAATCATTACCTTAAACCATTTCCAAGGATGTTCTTTACAATTTTGAGGCACCGGTTCAGGCTTCTTAAGCAAAACTTCATGCAATCTCAAGATAGCAAGCAAGACTTTATTAAAGTGTCGGCTTATTGTTTCACCGCTACGCACAAATTCTCTTTTGACCACTCTAACTTTAGTATGATGAGCGAGTATATAGAGGAATGAAGCAAGCATTTCCTCAACAGATGAATTTTTTGTCGCTCGCAACATGCCAATGGTTTCAACCATGTTACACAACACGTAAAATGCCCTTCTATCCATTCTAATGCTATCTACGCATTCTATGTCGTCATCCCAAATCATACTTCTAAAATTGACACATCTAATTTCATATCTCTCATGAGCACTTCCTTTTTGACATCTCTTCCTCTTCCGTAAAATAAAAGTGTCTCTATAATATTCTAACATGGCAAGTACAATGAAAAGAAAGTTTCTAAAGTTTAACGCGACAACATAAGCTGCCATGCACATTGTGATTTCGTCTTGCAATGAGCTGTCCATGATCAACACTAACAAAAAATGCAACTCCATGTAATTAGAGTGTAATACATTTATTTATTTACTACTTATCTTTTAGAGCTTGTTGATATACAAAAGTGGTTCACAAATCACAACTTCCGAACTACTATATACAAGGGATAGGAGAAAAGGATAATCATCAACTAAAACTAAATCTTGCAAAAATGTGATGCTAGAAAAAGAGCAGTAATTAGTACATATACGGAGTATTACTTTTCCTATATATATACCCGTTTAACTTTTATGTATATGTGTGTGTATATATTACGTATATATAATACTCCGTATACAATAAGCCAGATCAATATGAACATATTTAGTAGAGTAAAACTAAAACCCGACCAGATCTATGAGCCAGATCAATATGAACGCATTTAGCAGAGTAAGCTAAAATCCTACTAGATTGATGAGACATACGCATTAAGCTATAAACAACAGTAGCAGAATAAGTGATAAATACGGTGTACCGAAAACTAAAAAACTCTGTATTATATTATATATACACACATATACACTACAGATAGATAATATACAATAAACCAGAAGCTCTTACTCTTCAATCCACTTTCTCAAATAAAGTCGAAACATAATTTGATAATCTCTTTCAAAAATAAATTCCACAAATTCAATTCTAGGCACACAAAAACATATCAAATAAACATGTCAATTAACTAAAAAAAGAAGGAGAAGCGTACCTCTTGCAATACGGAGAGCAGGGCAACCCAATCAAGGAGATATGCTGAGATATGGTTTACGATTTTGTGTGTTTATATAGGAGATGAAATTGATTTATTGCCGCCAAAGTTTTTTGTTTTTGCTGCCACTCTCCTATTTTCTAGCGTAGGTCTAGATTGTAGAAGTTTACTCCATATTAAATAGTTAAATATGATAATACTCGGTATTAATTTATGAATGTAAACTAGTTTACTACCCTCCCCATGTAAACTATTTTACATGGTACAGTGTAAAGTGTTTTAAAAAAAGTGACCTACAGTTTGCATCAAACAATTAAAACAAATGGTGTAAAATGATTACTTCCCTTCACTTTACACGCAAAGTGTTTACTTTACACCGTAACAAACGAGCCCTTAACTAGACAAGTGAAATGATATGAACCACAAATTTCTTACCAAAAAGAGAAACACTACTAGGCCTGGGACAGTTTCGGTTCCTAGGCAAAATATGTGGAACCGTTTGAAAATATGAAATTTTACTAACGGTTCGGTTCTTATAAATTATTTTATAGAACCGATAAGGAACCGAACCGTTCTTAACGGTTCGGTTCTTGTCATTTAACGGTTCCTAGTCTTTGAAAAAAATCTTACAAATCACGACTAAATTTTTGTCAAAAAGACATTCAACGTTTGAAATTACAAAACAAATATGTTGAACCAGTTAAAGAGAATAATAGTTTTAAATAGTTTGGACCTTCCGAGTTCCGACCCGCTCGAGTTTGGACCTAATGAGAGGCCTAAGAAGCCTCAGAGAACCGGTTGAAGTGAATAATAGTTTTAAATAGTTGAATAACTAAACTAAAATAATGAATGGAATATAAAAATTAATAAGTAAATATACATAAAATATATATACTCGTAAGAAATATATATAATTTTAATTATTATATATAACGGTTCTTTAACGGTTCCTAGTACATATTTTTTTCAGGAATCGAGAACCGAACCGTTAATAAAAAATAGGAACCGAACCGTTAACAAATAACTAATAAATGTTGGAACCGAACCGAACCGGGTCATAACGGTTCGGTCCGGTTCGGTTCTCCGGTTCTTGGTTCCAAAGTCCCAGCTAGGGGAGAGCAAACCCGACCCTACCCGATTGACCCGATCGGATATATCCGATTTTATTTTTTGGGTCGGATAACCCGACCCGAATGACCCAAACCCGATCCGATTTTTGCAACCCGAGAGTTAAGTGGGTAGCGGGTAGGGTTACCAATTATGCTACCCGACCCGCCCGAAAACCCGAACTAGGGTAGTATATATACTACTTTGAATTATTATGCATGTTCAAATATCTCAATTATTGTATGCCAATTACCATATTATGCATATCAAATATTCCAATTGCCGTATTTGTAAAACTATAACTTTGAATGTTGTATTGTTATGATTTTGAATGATATTTTGACCAATTATCATTTTATTTATCATAATATCAAATATGTCAATCACCGTATATTATTATTTTACATGTTCAAATATGTCGATTACCGTATTTATACAGCTATTACTTTGAATGTTATACTAGTATAACTTTGAATGATATTTTTACCAATTACCATTTTATATATCACAATTTCAACAATAATAAATTAAAATCCGAATGGACCCGAAAACCGAACCAACCCGACCGAAACCCGAACTTCTTCAACCCGAAAAACCCGATAAATTTTTTGATCGGGTAGGATTTGAAATTATCAATCCGATACCCGAACGGGGTTTACCATTTTTGAACCCGACCCGCCCGAACCCGACCCGTGCTCTGCCCTAGTCCCAGCCCTAAACACTACGTCCAAAAAACATATTCCGTACTTCGTACGTATTAATCATTCTGCACCTACACCTGTTGGGCCGGGTGTGAAGCGGTTCCGACCTCAGCCTTCCAGCTTCGACGCAGAGGAAGCGACTACCCCCCCGGCGTCAATCTTTGACCGTCAACGAAGAGACCGTAGAAGGCTGAAGCGAGACACCTGTTCCCGCTTCGACGCATAGAGGAAGCTACTATCGTCCGCGTCGATCGTTGACGGCTTCCATATCCATATCCCCATTCCAGGTTTTATATGTTATCGATCTAATTATTTCAACTCCTATTTTGTTTATTTCAAAATACTAAATCAAATACTTTGATTTTGATTATACGGAGTATGAATTATGAAGCACTGAACCCCAGCAAGCGGATTGTTAAGCTCTATCAGTGCCGAACCCATTGAGATTACCAAGTTGTTATCCGGTCAATAGAACCCGCGTTTTTGAAAGATTATCTGACCCTACTTGACCCGTCCCACCCTAGCTAATACTTTGCAGTTTAGCTGAAAAAGATGGGGAAGAAGATACAGAAGCATTGCGTGGAGGATTTCAACACCTTGATATGTCAAATGAAGAAGCAAGAGAAGGAGCTTAGGCTCAAAAGAAGGTTAGTATGGAATATTTTATTAACCTGCTTTTCGTTTTATATTTCATGGATTCCAACATGAAGATATGTTCATCTTTTATTTTCAGGTGGTTATTGGGTATAACTTTATCACGATCAGAGATGAGTCGACTAGAGTTGCTTCTTCCACCACAGGACAAGTACTAATTGCTATTTTCTGTTTATATTCTTTGTTATGCATTCTATTTTCCTTTCAATTTTGTCCTTGGAGAGTGTCTGTTAGGGATTCAATCCCAAACTCAGTAGTATCAAACAGTTAATAAAATTCTGTCCCAAGAGTTTGTAATTGTAAATTCATAAAACACAGTGTCTCTTATACAGCAACTAATACTCAGTAATACTAGAGGAGTTCAATAAGGTTTATGAATAGAGAAACGGAAATTAGAGGGGAAGAAGAAATTCCGATAAATCCATCCCTCCCCTCTCTCCTGTAGCAATTTAGCTTTTATACTGAATCCTCTGCCAATCATAATCCTTAAGCCTTGTGTTGGTGGTCTTGAGTCGGTTACCTTTCCTTGGTTTCACGCTTACAGCACCTTCTGTCACGTGCCTTGGCTTTATTGCCGCTGACGTGGCTCCCTCCACTTCATTTCTGGCCTGGCTTATTACATTACCTCCCCCATTAAGACTAACCTTGTCCTCAAGGTTGAAATTAGGAAAAGCTTTTGTCAAGTTTGAGTGATCTTCCCAAGTTGCTTGTTCTGTGGACATTCCTTCCCATTGCACCAAATGTTGCACATTCTGTTGGTGGCCCTGTTGTACCACTCTAGTCTGTAGTATTGAACTTGGTTGTATAAATGGTTCCTGATCTAGGCTAGCAATAGGTAGTGGGACATATGAATGTGGGTGGTTGCCATGGCAGCGTTTCAACTGAGATACATGGAATACCGGGTGGATTTTGGCATCTGCAGGCAGTAAGAGTTTATAAGCGACTACCCCAATCCGCTCGATGACTGGAAATGGCCCAAAATACCGAAGTCCCAATTTCTGGTTCTTCCTTGGGGCTACGGAGTGTTGACGGTATGGTTGAAGTTTGACCAAAACTTGATCCCCAATTTGGAATTCCACATCAAGCCTTTTCTGATCTGCATATTTCTTTTGTAATTGTTGAGCCCTCTGTATGTTAACCCTGAGTTTTTCCAGCAGCGTATCCCTAGTCACCAATTGTTCTTTCACATCCAATGGGTCAGTGGTAGTAGGAACATACCGCAACAACTGAGGTGGATCTCTGCCATAAACGATCTTAAAAGGAGTGTACCCAGCACTGGAGTGATAAGAGGTATTGTACCAGTACTCGGCCCACGGCAAATACTTAGACCACTCTTTCGGGGCATCGAACGTGAAACAGCGCAAGTATAATTCCAAACACTTATTCAAAACCTCTGACTGTCCGTCTGATTGTGGGTGATAGGCGGTTGACATACTCAGCGTGGTGCCACTGATCTTCCATAGGTGTTTCCAAAACTGGCTAGTAAAGACCTTATCTCTATCGGAGACAATGGTCTTAGGTAAACCATGCAATTTGACAATTACCTTCATAAATGCCTCAGCTACTGTCCTACTATTGTAGTCACTTTTGAGCGGTGTAAAGTGAGCATATTTAGATAGTCGGTCCACCACTACTAAGATTACAGTGAAACCATGAGACAAGGGCAACCCAGTAATGAAATCCATAGCCAAGTCCTCCCAAATCTGATTAGGAATAGGCAGTGGTTGTAGTAACCCGGAAGGTAACATAGTATTGGTTTTAGCCTGTTGGCATACTAAACATTGCCTAACAAATTGTTGAATGTCGTTTTGCATACCTTTCCAAACAAATTGAGCCGCCACCCTCGCTAAAGTCCTCTTTGAACCAGCATGACCACCAATAGGGGAAGAATGAAATTCCTGTAATAGTTCTTGAATCAATGCATGTCCTCGGGGCACTACCAACCTTCCCTTCCATAGTAGCATGTTGTCCACTACTGCATAATGGCCAAAACCAGCTTGATTGTTATAACAAGCTTGGATAATATCTTGTAGCTTAGAATTGTCTTGCTGAGCTTGTTGTAGTGCAGTCATTATCACCGGAATAGGTTGAGATAGAGCCATATAACAAGACCTGGATAAGGCGTCTGCTGCCACGTTGTCCTTACCTGGTTTATACTCTATTGTGAAGTCATAGCCTAGTAACTTATGCAACCACTTTTGTTGCTCTGGTGTTTGTAGGGTTTGGTCTGTTAAACTCCGTAGGCTCTTCTGATCTGTACGAATGACAAACTTGTGGCCCAAAAGATAATGTCTGAACTTTGCAATGGCTTCTGTTATAGCAAAAAACTCCCTGGTATAGGTAGATTGTTGTTGCATTCTGACAGACATTTTTTTTGAAAAATATGCTATAGGATGCTGCTTCTGACTTAGGACAGCCCCAATCCCAGTTCCTGAAGCATCTGTTTCCAACGTAAACGGTAATGAAAAGTCTGGCAGCTTTAATACTGGTGCCTTTGTGATAGCATTTTTTAGAAGGTCAAATGCTTCTGTAGCCCCATCGTTCCAAGCAAAACTGTCTTTTTTAAGCAAATTTGTCAAGGGTCCTGCCAAAGAAGCATACCCTTTAATAAATCGTCTGTAATAACCCGTTAAGCCCAAAAACCCACGGAGTTGTTTCAGATTGCCTGGTATGGGCCAATCTATTACTGCTTGTATTTTACTAGTCTCCATTGTTAGTCCGTGAGCAGAAACTGTGTGGCCCAAATATTCGACTTGTTGCTGGCCAAAACAACATTTTGAGAACTTGGCATAAAGCTGATGATCTTGAAGTAACTGCAGAACCAACTCTAGGTGTTGTAGATGGGATTCCCAGGATGGACTGTAAACCAAAATATCATCGAAAAATACCAAAACACACTTCCTTAATAAGTTGCGAAATACGTCATTCATAAGACTTTGGAAGGTGGCAGGAGCATTTGAGAGACCAAATGGCATAACCAGCCACTCATATAACCCTTGATGAGTTCGAAAGGCCGCTTTATGTCTATCCTCTTCTTGTATTAGGATTTGATGATAACCAGACCGAAGGTCTAGCTTAGAAAAATACTGAGCTCCAAAGAGTTCGTCAATGAGTTCATCCACTGTGGGTACGGGAAAACTATCCTTTATCGTTAATGCATTCAAGGCCCTGTAGTCTGTACAAAACCTCCATGTTCCATCCTTTTTCTTGACCAGAATTATTGGTGAAGAAAAGGGACTAGTGCTAGGGACAATGATACCTTCTCGTAGCATTTCATGTACCATTTTCTCAATCTGTTGTTTTTGACTAAAAGGGTGTCTATAAGGTTTAACTTTAACTGGATTAGCCCCATGAACCAGCGGAATAGTGTGGGTGTGGTATCTGGGAGGTGGCAGTCCTGTAGGAACATCAAAAACTCTTTGATACTTGTGCAGTAAGGATGCCAATTCCGAATTCATATCCGAAGGCAAGTCCAATTCGTGCTCTTGTGGACCATTTGTAGCCTGCAAATATAAGAAATGAATTTCAGCCATGGCATGAGTTTTCTGCATTCTTTTTAGTTGATTGAATTGTTTTGGACTGGGCAACGTGTTTTTCTCACCCTGCAATGTAACAAACTGGTTGTTCAATAAGAACTTAATGGACAGGTTGCTATAGTCTGAAATGTAGGCACCCAATGTAGAGAGCCAAGCTGCTCCGAGGACTAAATCCGCACCTGAAACGGCTAACAAATACACTGGTAATACCAACGAATTCCCTTGAACCTTAAGTGCTAACTCCTTTATACAGCCTTCCACAGTCAAGGCCGATCCATTCCCCACCGTAACATTAAAGTTTTCCGTAGGTTCAATAGGTAACTTCAAGCATTTGGCAATTCTAGGTTGTAGAAAATTATCAGAACTTCCACTATCCAACAAAATTTGAATAGGTAACCCTTGAATGGTTCCTTGAAAGCGCATGGTGCCCAGTCCAGTCGCCCCTTTGAGAGCGTTGAAGGATAGATGGGGTTCTGCAGTGGTATTAAGTTCCTTTCCAGGAGTGAATTCCGAATCATTCACAGTGTTTTCAGCACTATCGTCCTCCTCCTCCACCTGTAACAGTAAATAATGCTTATTCGGGCAACGATGTGCAGGAGAAAATTTCTCATCACATGTAAAGCACAACCCCTTTTCTCTACGGAGCTGCATTTCTGCCGATGACAATTTCTTTATAGTTGTGTTTTTGGAGTTTATATTGACTGAGCTAGTGGTAGTCGGAGGATTTGAAAGCAGTGGGGGTAATGATGTGGATTTAAGTGATATAGTTGATTGGTTGCTATAATTGCTTGCACTCCTGGGACAGTAATTGGGTTGGGATGGTTTGGGTTTATAGGTATATTTCTCCTCAAACAATTTAGCCAACGATACACATCTGAGTAATGATGTAGGGGCCTGGGCAATAACGTCTCTGCGAATTTCAGCCTTGAAACCCCCTACAAAGCAGTCTAGCAAGGCTTCTGTGGTTACCCCTTGCACCCTATTCGCAAGAGCAGTAAATTTCAAATAATAATCATGAACTGACGTTTCCTGAATTAGTTTGAAAAGATTTGACCGAGGGCATTCATAAGGAGAAGGGCCAAATTCCAGTTCCAGTGCTCTAGTGAAATCAATCCATGAATGGAAGGAATTAGATCGACTCATCATTTGGAACCATGGCACGACCTCCTTTTCCATATGAACCGCAGCAATAGTTAAACGTTGAGCATCAGGAATATTGTAATAAGAGAAAAACTGTTCTGCTTTAAAAATCCATTGCAACACTTCTGAGCCATCAAAACGGGGAAAATCTAATTTCACGTTTCGAACCTGAAACGGGGTCCGTGAGCCTCCAAAAATTTGCCCCTGATTAAGATCTGAAGAGTTCTTCGCCAAAGAATCTACAATGGATTCCAGTGTATGACAACGTTCTTCATCATCCTTCCGTCGAATCTCCAGAGCCTCCAAAAGTTTGTGCAGATCCCGATCAGTTGCTGAAACCGCTTCTGAAATTTGACGGACCTCACTCGGGAGATCTCTCAGTCGTCCGATCTCTATTGACAACTCCTTCAAGCGAGAATCGAGCTCCTTCAAGCGGGTACCTTCAGCCGCCATGAATGGATGAAAGCACCAATTGTTAGGGATTCAATCCCAAACTCAGTAGTATCAAACAGTTAATAAAATTCTGTCCCAAGAGTTTGTAATTGTAAATTCATAAAACACAGTGTCTCTTATACAGCAACTAATACTCAGTAATACTAGAGGAGTTCAATAAGGTTTATGAATAGAGAAACGGAAATTAGAGAGGAAGAAGAAATTCCGATAAATCCATCCCTCCCCTCTCTCCTGTAGCAATTTAGCTTTTATACTGAATCCTCTGCCAATCATAATCCTTAAGCCTTGTGTTGGTGGTCTTGAGTCGGTTACCTCTCCTTGGTTTCACGCTTACAGCACCTTCTGTCACGTGCCTTGGCTTTATTGCCGCTGACGTGGCTCCCTCCACTTCATTTCTGGCCTGGCTTATTACAGTGTCATTGCGGTGTAATGCGCTACACAGGCATGTGCGTAGACAGAGGCTTAGCCTAGGCAAGGATTAACCGGGGCTAAGGCTAAGCTAGAGTGATGCTAGACCTAGAAAGTACTCGGTGTGTGTTTATATATGTATGTGTAGTATGTTCTTCTAAAGTGATCACAACTAGTTTTCAAACTGCGTGATGCAATTGCTAGAATCAAAATTAAATTTCCCAGTCTTCAGTTCATCACATGTCATTAAATTTCCAAGTCTTCAGTACATAAACATTATATGTATATACTTCCTCGTTCTTTTTTAAATGCGACAATCCACTTTTCACGTTTGCTAGACCATTAATATCTTTCATTCCTCAATAGTAAAGAAGTTAGATTTTGGAAATTTGAAGTGTGAAGAGTTTAACAATTTTTTTTTAAATTTAATTTATAATACATTAATGAATAAAATAGAGTCAAAGTAGAACATGTGAATAGTGAAAAAAGTCTAATGTTGCATTTAAAAAAGAACGGAGGGAGTATATAATGCGTAATATGGCTCTGAGCCTCTAATTCATAAACGTTATCTATTCTAGCACACATATATAACCAAAACTGTTCAAGACTTTAAGTTGCATTTTCCTAGACCTTAAATATAGAGCATGGCTGCAATTAAGAGTCACTTATCATGTGGACCAAGCTTGCACACTTATGTTTTTGAGAATATCTTCCTTTAAATACTAAGATGACATGCTGAGATGACATGATCTATGGTCATGAAAACTTTTTCTTTTATATACACACGTACAATTGATGTGCACTTTTTAATACTTGAGCTGAAATTTTTATATTTTAGCACTGTCATTTTCATTTTCATTTACCCCAGTGCCGCAAAGGCTCCCACCTACGGTGGGGTAAGGGGGGGTCGAATGTACCCAGTCTTACCCCTGTACTAAAATTTGTGGTATGAAGATCATTACATAATAATAAATACGATAGTATAATTTAAGAAAAAAATCACTCTATATTTAATAACAGTGATTACTCTATCAATAGTAAAACAATAATTACTCTATAATTGGTAGAGTAATTATTACTCTATATCAATAGTTAAAAATAATAATTACTCTATATTTGGTATAAATGATATCTTGGTTTTTATAATTATAATCAAAATTGTATTATCCTATAAGTTTCTGAACAAATCACTAGACAAAAATGATGCTACCACTCACAATGAATAACCATCCTTGATCATGTTCCACAAAATAGAAGGAACCCAAAAAATATGTTAGTTGAAGCCCAGGCCGCCAAACCACCGGCTAGAAGGAAAACCTCTCAACCCACGGCCCATGGCCCACCCAAGGCATTAGCCTTTTCAAAACTGTCATTTGTTCCTTTTTTAAAGTGGGCATCCTTTTCGTATAGGGGAGACGGGGGCAGAATGGAATAGTTAAAAGGTATATCATGTTTGTAACAGATCAGGAATTGATATTTTACCCAATATACAAAATATCTTAATGCAATGATGCATATCTATAACAACGACAGTAAACAAAATCATTTGAATAAGTGAGAAAAGAGGAGCTTGAATGAGTCTATAGCTACTTTACTTTCCCCCACTTCCTTTTGCTTTCCCATCTCCTATCAGAAAATTGATAAATAACATTAGAAGCGTTACCTGAAGGTGTTCCCAAATGGAGTGTTATTCTAGAACAGCCTTCTTGGTTCTCTATCACTTCGTGTCATTATTATTCTACGCATGAAGGGCACATTTCTCTGAGTTGTCTATTAACCATTTCTTTCCCAATGTTTTTTATTGTGCATGTAATTGAGATCTGTTTAATTAATTATAAATGTTGCAAGTTAGTGGCATTGCAATTTGTAGTTGGTTTCTCAGTACTATTTGTAACTCAATTGAGTGAAGTCACCAGTAATTTTAATTCAAGCCTTGGTTTTTGCATGTAGGTTTGTACCTGAATCAGTGCTTAGAGAAGATGATGTAAGGTTTTCATATTTTTCTTTGCACAGAGCTAATGTAATTGCCTGGCCAATTTAAAAAATGTCATTGTATTGATGTTTGTCCATACATCAGCAAGTTACTTTTTAAAAGATTTTTTTCTATCTTCAAATACTCATAGTGTGAATGTTCTATACAGAAATTTCTATCTGATGCTTCTTTTGTTTGGTTGCAGTTAAGTTATGAGAGCATCAAAACATTTGTTGAAGAGACACTCGGAATGCTTAAAGAGACTGAAAGGAAAAATTATGTGACTGAAGAAGAAATACGACTCTTTGACTCACCAGACAAGGATACAATAAAGTATATCATCTCCTTGCTAGATGAAATGACCAACAAAGAGCTATTCTCTCTTACCAAGATTTTGACAAATGGCTCTGTTCACTTCCTCAAAACAAAAAAGAAGATGAAAAATATTATCCAAGAGTTTCTACCTAGACTTTTTGAATCTCATGATGACCAAAGCCGAATCAAATTGACGCAAGTCAAACAACTCCTTACAAATCCAACCCAGTCATTCCGTACTGCTATTATCGATGTCCTTTCTAGGCTTGAGGAACTCTCTTTTGTCACACTAGTTGCAATGCATCGAAATCTCAGAGGGGTCAAGGGATTCACTCCAAAATCACAACACAATAAGCCTGGCAGGTCTCTTGAGAGCTTGATTAAACAAATAAGGAAAATATCAATGAAATTGTTGCAAAAATTCAGGGATGGAGACGAACCACCAAGGCCCTTGGTAAAAGCTTTATCAGTTGCATACTTGGTGTTAAACCCAGAATTGAGAAATGTTTTCTCTAATGTTTCACCTGATATAGAGAAGCTACAAACTGATATTATGAGTGCTATTAAATTGGTCAAAGCTAAAAGGAAAGTGAGCCGCATAGAATTGGAAAAATGCATACTTATGCTCGACCCGGAGTTTAAACAAAAGGCACCAGAAAAAAGTTTTCGTGCGCGTATTGTACTGAAGAATTTGTTGACTGCATATCTTTTAGAGTGCTGCAATATGGACACTATACCAGAACGTTTGCTAGAAACAGTTAGATTTATTATTGATATATCTGAGAAGAAAAGCGCATCCTGCACTGGCAAAACTAGTGGACGGGCGACCAGAGCCCTGGCCTGGTCTCATCCTAAATGTGGTAATAAACATTTTTTCTTTGTGCAATTTTTTCCTGAAAATTGTACTCCGTATTTGAATAGATTGCTTATTCTTCTCACCCAAAATTTGCATATTTAGGAGCCTTGTCTACGCCCATGCCAACCTGCAGAACCTTTTCAGACGAGGAGGTACAGGAAGAAGTACACCTGTTGCTGAATTTGAGTGCTCAGGCTAAGCAGATAGTGTGGAATTTTCTTCCAGAAAATAAATTTGACAAAGATTTTGCTGATGCATACATGGATGATGATTATGTTGAAGAGTGTTGTTATGATGGAGCAGGAGGCGGCTCTGAGTTTCAAGACTCCATCTCAGGTCGTACTAGATATTATAGTAATAATAACATTGATGATATAAATTGCCAATCAGAAAGTGTTGGTGAGACCATCCCGGTTGATGATCCCAAATCACCAGTCTCTTCAAGCCCTGCTGAAGTTCATTCTCATAATTCAAGGTTGTCAAGCGCTGATGCACTTTCCAAAATTTCGTCTTGTAATGGAGGTTCAGAAAAATATGATGATGATGTGTTGATGGAGAATGCATACCTCACTATCCAAGAAGCGTGTGATGAAACAAGCATGTTTGCGTATTCATTTGTTGGCCATGTGTTGAATGGATTGGACAAATTAGAGATGGCCCTTCATGCTAATGCATCAGGTCTGAAGTCTAAGCTACTCCATGCCTCCATGGGTATTCTGAAATAGCATTAAATTTGATTATCCTCTCCAGTTTGTAGATCAGATACTTATCTCAAACAATGTTTGAAATAGCATATCATGGACTTGAAATGTTTTTGCTGATTGCGTAAACCCATTGCGCAATAAGGTGCAAGGCTTAGTTTGTTAGTACAATTGTATAAAATAATATCAAAATAATCACTTTAGTCATATAATAAATAATCACCGTGGTGCCTTTGCATTTCTCCATTTGGAGCACTAATCTAAAAAAGTAGAATATGTATTCTACATTCTTCTTCAAGAACATGCATACTATTTTGTTTATTCCGGTTTCTGAGATTTGCAGTCGTGTACCTATGTTGAGCTTCACATTTTTGGTTTTGAATTCTTGTTTGATTCCCTGAAGTTTTTTCTCCACTGTTTCCAGATCCCACGAGGACTATGTGTGAAGATGGTGTGGGTTCCGTTGTGATGAATGCACTTGAACTTCTAGCGCCTTCATTTCCTATCAGGTACACAGTTTCTGCTACTTCAGCAGTCGCACCTTTTCTACTTTTGGTTGTAATTTTGTATGCTGCGTTTACGGATTTCACTCCTCCACCAATGTTCAAGGGAAAGTGGGAGCCTTCGAGTTTAAGATGCAATTTGTTTATCTATTAGAAGAAATAAGTGATACTCCGTATCTCTTTGACTTTATTCCGTTTGATTCTGACTGTTTTTTGGGTACATCCAAATGAATGATACCATGAACTATGTTAAAGGACCTGAACTGGCCCATCTGGATCCAGTGACCTGCCCACAGAGCTGGTCCGTTTATAATTTAACCTGCAAAACTAACAAAAACTGTGAAATGTGTCCACCCTGCCATCCGTTACTAACCTGGCCATACCTAGAACTAGTAAATTCTGGCAGTGTACTAAAGCAGGTCAAAGGAATCAGAAAACGGAGTATATTTTAGAACATTAAGTGGGTTTTCGATGCTTATTAGTAATATAATTAATGGATTATTGTGTATAAATGATATTTTTCTTGTAAATTGATATACTCCGTACATTATATAATAGTAGTATATTTATGATGTTCATTTTTTGGTCAATGTTGACAGCCTACACGGACCTACTTGTTGTTTTCCTGGTTGGTTTGTGACCCAGTCACTTTATGGGTTTCAATTTCTATTTCAATTAAGAGTTAAGACAACACTTGGTCACTTTATAGCTTGTTTTTTTTTTTTTTTGGGGGGGGGGGGGGGAAAGAATGCGTTGTACTTTAAGTGGAAGCTAAAAATATTTGTCCCTTTTTATCCTTACTTTCTCTTTTGGTTGTCCTCAAACAATCTCCCTTTTCCTTTTTAACGAAAATAGATGTGGTATCCATTTATATTCTAACATTTCTTTTTACATAAACTTTGAACCATATAATTACCAATTTCTTAAACTCATTGTCCAAGTCAAATTCATAATATAGAACTGGGCGGGACTTTTTGTCTAATCTCGCACACTTTTTATGCAGAGGCAAAGAGGAATTGAGAGTGTTCATGGGTCTATAGGGAAGGGAGGGTGGGAAAGAATCAATCGCCCATGCAGAAGCAGGAAGCAGAGAAAAAGTTATATTCAAGTTGGTCTTTTTAGTTATCATCTTGTGATTGTGATTGATTGGGAAGAAAGCTATATTTTGATCTTATCAAAGGCAATTTTTTCTATGTTTAATCTCGCACACTTTTTATGCAGAGGCAAAGAGGAATTGAGAGTGTTCATGGGTCTATAGGGAAGGGAGGGTGGGAAAGAATCAATCGCCCATGCAGAAGCAGGAAGCAGAGAAAAAGTTATATTCAAGTTGGTCTTTTTAGTTATCATCTTGTGATTGTGATTGATTGGGAAGAAAGCTATATTTTGATCTTATCAAAGGCAATTTTTTCTATGTTTAAGTCTTAGCCTATTTGCTAACATTGATTCTATTGGCAATTAATGAAGTTCTAGCTGAATTGACTGGATTGGCCGTTTATGCTCATTCATGAGACACTTATATTAGAAATGTATTTTATTAATTATATTAAAAAAACATTTTATTAATAAAATAAAGATAAATTATATAGAATAGCTAAAATGGTCTTCTATAGCAATTTCATGTAAAACAATAAGAAAAGTAACTCCAACATTGCCTATTTTGGTACTACATAATTCAGTGCGAATTAGAGGTTACATATTAGATGAAAAAGATAGAGTCACCAAATGGGTCCTAAGTTGAGGATAATTTTTATCAGTTTACATTTGGTTGTGGCATGAAAATGTTTATTTAGGATATGCCGACAAGCAATGCAGAGCCATAGAATTTAAAGTTGGTGTTAGAGTGTTTCTTAAAGTTTCTTCTTGAAAAGGAATCATCTGATTTCAAAGCCTGGGAAAACATAGCCCTATAGGGCCATTTAGAATTCTAGAGAGAAATGAGGCCATAACATGTCGTCTACGGTTGACTCCTGAGTTAGAGAGGATACATAACATGTTCCATGTATCAAGCCGCATGTAGAGATGTGCGAGGATTTGAACTATGTTGTGCAACCGGTGAAGATAAGTGATAGATGGGTGAAGAATTTGAGAAGTTAATAAATTCTGATGGTTAAAATCCTTTGGAAAAGTGATCGGGTCAAAGAAGAGACTTGAGAAACATAAGCTTTGGTGAGAAAGTAGTACTACCTCCGTCTCTTAAAACTTTGCCAACTTTCCTTTTTTGGATGTTGCACTAACTCTGTCACTTTCCATTTTAATTAAAGAATTTGTGGTTCCAATTAATTCTCTCTCCTTTGCACAAACTTCAACCCCACAGTTTTTATTTTATTAATACCCGTGTCGATCAAACTTGGCAAATTGAAGTTTTAAGGGACGAAGGGAGTATGATTTTCTTTTTGAGTAGCTTTGTGAATTTCAGGGACGAAATTCATGTTGAGGGGGGTGAACTTGTGACACCGCACCCGGATGTATTTGAAACCTTGATTTAAATTCAATAGATGTACTTAAACTCTCTATTATTAATCATGTGTTACTAAATTAAGAAGTCAATTAATAAACGATTAACTAAACTATTTATTTGGGCCCGTGTTATGAGAATGGACTATCCAATACTTAATTGGGTTATCTTATTAATTATAGGAGCCCAATAAGATATAGGCTTTGTTTGCAACTACTTCTCCTTAAATAAAAGCACTTTTGGGGAAAAAGTGATTAGTAGTAAAAGTTGGTAGCGTTTGATAAAATAAGTGCTTTTTGTGTACTAGAAAAAGTAAAAAGTAGATTCTACACGGAAGCCGAGAAAGTAAAAGTTGGTAGTGTTTGGTAAAATAAGTGCTTTTTTCTTAAAAAAAAAGTTAAAAGCACTTTTTTAATGGGTTGCAAATAGACCCATAAATAAAGGTTCATAAGCCTTTTTGACAAAAAAGGAAAGGTTGAGCAGCCCAAGTGTTACTTTGGCCCAACTTACTATAAATAACAAGATTCATGGAAAGGGTGTCCTAGGCCCACTTGAGGTAGCTCACATGTGTTTTAGCCCAAATATATAAAAGGAAAGATAATCAATTATTGCTATGGGCGGACAAAAGGGGTGAGAGGATAGCTAGGGAAGAATACAAACTCATAAGGTCATTTTTATCATTATGATTAAGATAAAGTATCAGACCCAATATAAATTATTAGGGTCATCCTACACATATTAGAAACTAATAATATGAGGTAAAAGGTTGGCATTGGCTAAAGAAATTCGAATGAGTACAGAATGTACTACACATACCAAAAAAAACAAAATGGGGCATCCCATATGACTTAGACACCTGCAAAATGAGAGAAGATGGTCAGATGTATCATATGGGGACGGACATATAAACAGAGAAGCTAATAATACACAAGAGACAAAAACTATATGACCCACATATTCCTTACTATTTTTGACATTTTCCTTCCTATTTTCGTACCACATATTAGAGAGACTGAACCACGACTCTTTGGGGTGAATAATACACCCTTGGATGTTGACTTAGCTTTGTAATATCGTCCACAAACGAAAAGGATACAATTGATTGAGGAGAGAGTGCTTGAGGGATCACATGTGTACAATCCGTCACATGTTGCGAATGTGTATGTGTCTGTCTCATTGGCTCATTGCACTCATTGAGATCCAATTATTCAAACTGGATGAGTGAGGTGGCTCTGGAAAGCTCTAAAGACCTAGTTTCTGGGGGGGGGGGGGGGGTTCAGCTTGGGAGAAGAGGAAGGTATCCAAATCATATGAACGACTGGGGAAGGTATTCAACACAATATTAGATGTAGAATATGTGTTGATGATGTTATTTTATGGTTTTCAAGGTTAGATACTAACCTCGAATCAACCTTGAAAAGCTAGGAGGTTGTACTTGCTGAAAAACGCCTTTCAAGGAGGTTGTTTTCATATCTTTTGCAAGGGGACAAACAACCACGTACCATTGGAGGAGGTCATATAGCTACCATTTTAAAGCAAGTAATCCATAACCAATCATCGTTGGCCGGAGTTTTGACCAATGGACTTAGAGAGGACAAATTTAGGAGCTAATTAAGGTGAGGATCGACATCTAGTTCCTTATAACTTGTAGGTTAAGCATGCGATTACCTAAATGCCTAAAGTGTGATTTTTCAGGGATTATAATGTCTAATGCTTGTTAAAATATGGATGTCTCTAATTTTTTTCGAAGTTGTCCATGATTTTGAGTAATACTTGAGATATGATGCTAGTTTGGCTATTTATGAACATTTGAGTTGAAATATGAATTTCTAGTTCATGTATGGAGTATATGGATTATGAATATGTTTTTGTGTATAATGAAATGGTAGACTTGAATCATGTGTATGGATTTTTAAAGATGTTAAATCATTCATGAAGCATAGACTTGAACTTAATAAGAACAACCCAAGTCGTATCAAGATACTAGCTCTAGTTTGTTTTGGTTCTTATTAGCATTGATCTTTAAGTTTGGATTGAATAATGTAGTTCAATAGATAACTTGTAAGGTTAGAACAAAACCATGGCCCAACCGTGTCTAAGGAGCAGTGTTGAATAAGCATGGATTTGTAAGGTTAGAGGTAGGGACCAAGGCTCGGGAAGTCTCTAGAGAGCGCCATCAGATAAGCATGGACTTACCGACGTGATCACGTATAAGGAATGGACTCAGAACTAATGGCCATATGTGGCGTTGGACGAGCATGGACATTGTTTAGGTCCCCGACAGACATTATCTTCCTATGGGACTTTTGGTACTAGTCTAGGAGCGGGGTGACCAGGCATTGGTGTAACGCCCCCAACCCCGCAGGACCCGAGGTAGTTACTCCAGACCTCTAGTACTATCCTCACAAACCTCCACAAGCCTTTAACATGCACTTTGTCCTCACTCATGCGCGCCCTGAGAAAGTTCCCAATGAGGGCACCCGTCCCAAGACTGCTCCGTGTAAGCACATTTAACGTGGAGTTCTTAGAAGACGAGCTTCCTTAAAATGAGATGCACCTCTGTTGGTATGAGCAGTACTAGTAATCCATTTAAATTAGGGAAATTTCCTAGAGTAAGACTAAAACTCAATCACTTTCTTAATCTATGACCTAACTAGTTTTTAGACTTCCGTATGACCGAAAATCCAAAAAAATAAATTAATTTCGTTTATATTTAAAGGTTGAATGACGAAAATACCCTTATTTAAAATATGTGAATTTTGCACTAATTTTGTCCAATTAAAATTTCTGCACTTTATATTGACGTTAATGCACGACATTAATGCAGGATTTTAATGCACATCCGGTAATTATCACTGCACTTCCGCCAAAATTAATTCTCTTCTCATTCACTTGAGGAATTTATTTTTAGTTTTTGTTTTTTGTTTTTTAGATTACATAATTTTATTATTTTACATCTAATTTAGTATTTTACATTTTATGATGATATTACTACTCTGTGTTACTGCAATACTAGTCATAATCACTGCATAACAAAAAGTTTTAATGCATTCATTCAGTGCCTTGTACAAAATGTCTATTACCAATGCATATTCACTGCACATACTGAACACGTATTGCACTGTTTTACTGTCATTGTTCAATGCCCATATTTAATGCTCACAAACCCTAAATTCAATAAAACCTAATCTCAAAAAATTGAGAAAGAACGAATCAACGAATGCCTCTGTACGCGGCTGGAAAACTTGAGAGATGGTAGAAATTGATAATTGACAATCTCAATTCTCATAATTAAGTTGACCCTTCCATCACTAGAGACATGTTCTCATCATCACTACGTTGACCGTTCCATATAGAGCAAAGAAACTCCTTGTTCCAATATGCAATGAGTTCTATTCAAACCAAAAAAATATGCTGACACAATATGGATGAAAAGACAGCCTTCCATTACATCCTACAGAGTAATAAGTGATGGAATGGATTAAAAATCAAAATAGAATGACTTTTCAAGATCTGGTTGACCAACGTGCTCCAAGGGTCGGTGCTTGCAGAGACGAACGGAGAATGAGTTTCTATTGACGCAGCAAACTTTCTATGGGCTAATTTGAACGGCAGCGGACTACATGCCACGGTGTGGCGGCAGACTACATGCCACGGGGCGGCGGCGGCAGGGGGTGTGCGGCTACAGGGTGGGAGAATGGAGGTTAGGGTTTTAGAAAAGAATAGAAGCTTAGAGTTTTTATAGATATAACCTAAAGGGTACATTTGTCCACATAAATTATTTATTATTTATTTAGTACGAATTTTAATTAAATATTATTAATTTTAATATTATTTTGGTAAAAAAACTAGTTAGATCATAGATTGAGAAAGTGAATAAGATTTAGTCACACCTAAGATAATTATCTCTTTAAATTATAATCCATTTAAATTAGATCTCAAGTATTACAATTGGTCCGAGAACCCATGAGGTCTTGTCCCGAAGTCTCAAAGGAGATTCGGTAGCAAGGACGGACTCACATGGTGGTTGAGTCCTTTAAGGTCAAATGAACATATGTGTTGTTGTAATACTTGAGATTAATTTAAAGGGATTAATGGTAAACTTTTAGTGTCAATAAACTTACAAAAGACACAGTAACTTGTATTGCATTCATTATAGATTTTGGTGATGTATAACTTATGTCTTTTGGAATTATGGTTTCGATCAATGAGGTACTAGATTGTCGATAGAATTATTTCTTATTTTGTAAATAAGATGTGTTTGAGTAAAAATCTGATTTATAAATTTGGGTAGTATCTGAAAACAGAAATAATGCACCAAATACCAATATTTTAGAGAGCATTTGTGTAACACCCCCAAATTTATATCCGAAATAGATGTTATATATAAAAAGTGTAGAAAGAATTTTCCAAAACATTTAATCCAAAAGAGTTTAAATTGCAGCGGAAGCTTAGTATTCAATGGGTGTTATCGCCACACTCGGTTCTTACATAACCGAGTGCACAGGCTAAACCACAATTCAACAATAAACACAAGTACGAAGTTCAATTCAAAACTTAATCAAATAGAATAATAACAAGTTCTGAAATTTCAGATTTATTAAATATTACTAATAACTAATCTACGTGATCTATCGGGGCTCTATTCATCACACATACTCTTCATCACCTGCACCAAATAAAGTGCAGAAAAGAAAACAAGGAAAAAGAAACAAAAACTAGGTTTTTAGCTAAGTAAGACCCACCCAACCCCATAAAATAATATACTTAGAGAAAATAGTTTTTGATACATACATATAAGTCTAAAAATTAGTGAGCTAAACCAAATGCTTTCATAATTAAAAGGGAAAACTGTCAAATAGGTCATTGAACTTTCATAAAAAAGTCAATTAAGTCCTTCTATAGGAGACTCTGTCTGGTCGTCGCGATTTGGGACAGTTCCCGGTGGAATTTTTTGATGAAATTTTCTTAGCATCTTGTTCATCAAGTTTAGTTTACTCATACCAAATTTCAGCTAAAAATTTAATCGGGAGCGCATTCAAATTAAATCGAGAACGCAAAAATGCCCAGTTATCTTCAAGAATTAATTTGAATGTGTTCCCGATTGAATTTTTAGCTGAAATTTGGTATGAGTAAACTAGACTTGGTGAATAAGATGCTCAAAAAATTTCATCAAAAAATTCCACCGGGAACTGCCCCAAATCGCGACGGCCGGACATAACCTCCTATAGAAGGACTTAATTGACCTTTTTATGAAAGTTTGAGGACCTATTTGACAGTTTTCCTAATTAAAATAGCTTAAGTAAGATATTTTCACACAATTCCAAGTTTGAATACCTCTTTTCAAAATCATACATGATACTCATCCACCAAGAAGGGATACCTCTAAAAGGGATTCCAAGCCCTCCGAGTAATAACAAGTCCAAGTAGTCGAGACAAGCTAAGTCTCTACCAACTACCCCAGAAAGGACGAATCCTATATAAGCGGAATAGGGGCTACTACTACCACACAAGCCGAAAAAACAAGAATCCTACATTTATCCGGATGTAGAAACCGACACCACGGATTACAACCGGGTTCTACAATTACCCAAAATCCAAATCAAGAGAAAAACCAACCACCAGATAGTGCCCTACCCTAGACCACACACCAAACCCCTACATTTATCCGGATGTAGAAATCGACACCACGGATTACTCCTGGGTGCTGGAAACCAAAATCCTACATTTATCCGGATGTGGAAACCAACACCACAGATTACTCCCAGGTGCTACAAATATTCAGAAATCATTGATTACAATTTTGGCAAAAGATTTGCAACAAAAATAGTTTTTACTACCACCACCAAACCAAACCAATTAGGGTACTCTAAACCCAGAATATATTTTCAAAATAACCAATGATAATAATCTCAAATCATACTTCAACTCATGCCAAAACAATCACCACAATTTTCCAGTCCAAAAGAACAATTCCTCAAAAATCACAATTTTAACCATAGCAAATTAATCTGATGAATTCACCAGAAATCACACGTTCACAAATTCCATGAAAAATCATACATCATCATATTCTTACTATAATAACCGAAATATCCATAAACTTTTAGAAAGAAACTCAAAATGATAGCACAAACCCTAATTAATACATAACAAGGGCAAAATAGTAGTTGTGGTTGCAATAGTCCTTACCTCGAGACTAGCAACGAATCCTAAATGTCAAACCCATCTTTAGGATTCACTCACACGTCCCTAGGAAGTTATAGGGTCGAAGGATCCCAATTTAGGAGAAAGAAATCAAGAAAGCGTACATACGGCACGAATTAGGCAACAAACGCACTTACCAGAATGATTTCGTCCTTGGCCTTAAATATCATGGTGGATATGTTAATATGAAAGGTCTGGAGGAGATAGATCTTGAAGAGGCGATCCTAGAGTTTTTGGAATGAGGAAAATCAGATTAGGGATGTATTTATAGTGAATTTCCGAAGTTTGGGTCGCATAAGGATAAATTGAACCCACACACCGTGCGGCCTAACCCGCACGCCGTGCGGATGACGTTTTGCTGAAATTGGCCCATTTTAAGTGGCCACCCGCACACCGGGTGGCCCCTGCA